TTTATTCAGGTTTAAAATACATATTTTTGTTATTAAATGGGACTACTCTGATTCTAATCTAATAACATTTTTACTGAAAATATTTTTTGATTTTTAATTATTAAAATAATCATTTTGAATATCTGAAATGGAAATATATTTCAGTGTATTTATACTGCTATTATAAAATGTACATGGCAGATTTGGGGAAAGTAGAGATCCTGCTTATTTCATAATATCTCCTCTTTATATTTCATTAAAACATGTTAAGTAATGACATTGGGGCTTAGTTAACCTCAGACAGCTGGCAAACTACATCATGTGAGAGCTGCAGGAAAAAAAAACACCCTGAAAATAATCAAGTCACACTGCCTTGGTGCTGCAGTGAGATGCTACATCAGTATGCAATGACACTGCATTCTTTCCACTCAGCATCACTCATAGCATATTGATTCATCACCAGAACATGACATTATATTATCTTTTGTTTTCCCACCTACCCTTTCCCAAAATGCAGAAAAGAGCAGAAGAGGGCATTCTCCAGCTTACCAGCTTTAAATACCTGCAATTTTCAGATTTTAGTAGGCATAATTTTAAGATTTTAAGAGAACATGAGTCATGGAGGCTTACATGTTACTGGATGAGTTTGTTCTTTGGAATTTTTTTTTTGCTTGTATCATGGTAGCAGGTAGCAGTGGGATGCAAGTACATTTCCCACGTTATTGATGAGGTATGCTCCAAAATAAAAAAAAGTTCATGACAGATATGAAGAATATTATGGGGCCTATGAGCTATGTGGTCAGATTTGTTGTATGAAAATAATATCAGGAACTCTAGAGAAGCAACTTTTCCAGCCTTGCAAATCTATGGCTGTGGATACGTTCAAATCTATATGTTGTTAGTAACTACTACAGATCATACTCCATGATTAAATTGCCCAGAGAACCAAACTTAGCAGAAATATTCATACAATGGCCTACCACTTGTTTTAATGCAGGATTCTGCTCTGTTCAATGAATGTTATGTAAGCCATGGTCTGTCGGGGCAAAAAGAGGATAACTGTTAGGAAGTCGGCACATCAATCTGGATTTCTGCTGAGCATTTTGCTTACTAACTCTTAGGTAAAGCAGGCATCTTTCAGAGTCTGAACCTGAATTTTGTTATAGCCATGTTTTTTTTCAAAATTCTAAGCATCAGCAAGGTGGCAGACAGCTATCTTAACTTTCAGTCTGCTTAATGTATTAAGGATTTTATTCAGAGCTTGTAGGAACACAAGCCACAGAACATGAATTAAGAATTTGAAATACTTAGCAACCTCACTAGTTACCTGATAGGTGGAATGACTGTTAAAAACCAAGAGGACATTAAATACATATAGGTAGATATATTTAAGAGTAGCAAGGTTGAAGCAAAATCCTAATGCCTCCATTTTCTTTCTCTTATTTTCAAGGAATCACAACAGTTCTAACAATGACCACTCTAAGCATCAGTGCACGCCATTCCTTGCCCAAGGTGTCCTATGCTACCGCCATGGATTGGTTCATAGCTGTTTGCTTTGCCTTTGTTTTCTCTGCACTTATCGAGTTTGCAGCTGTCAACTACTTTACCAATCTTCAGACTCAGAGAGCAATGAGGAAGGCAGCCAGGGCAGCAGCACTGGCAGCAGCGCTATCAGCAGCAACTGTACCGGCAGAGGACGAGATTGTCTCGGTAATTGCTTGCTTTTCTGATAATAAGCATCATATAGGATGAGGCAGCTGAAGTAGCGAAGGCAAAACAATATTAAAGTAATCTTAACCTGAAATAGATTATGTAACCAGATCATGTTTATCAATCAAAGGAGTTCTTAATTCCATAAAATGAAAAGACCTTACTTATTCATACTGTTTATTTAAATTTGAAATATGATTTGATATAGAGATTTTTATTTAGCAGGATATTTGGTGAACACCATTAGGCTGTTACCCATAATATACTCCCTTGAGCAATGCTATAGGTACTGTGGTCAGGCAGCCCTGTGGTTCTCACCTCAGAATTTCTACAGAATTTTTAGAAACAGTAGAATGAATGTGTGCATTGGCCAGATGATTATGGGATCACTGTAGTATACTGGTACATACCATAAGTGGGTCATCTAGAAGAAGAGGAATTAGCTTTTACATAAACTTGGCATCTGTTACTTTCATAAAAATCTGTGTCAGTGGAAGCTTGAGGAAAAAACATAAATTTAAAGATTAGAGACAGATTTTATACATCTGATAGACAGGAAAGCTTTTTGGCATCAGAAAAAAAAAAAGAGTTATTTCCAAATAGTAGTCCTGATATCTTCTGCTAAGTAATTAAATTTGTCTCATAAAATACATTAATACATTTATAAGTACAGCCCTCCTGTTTTCAAGATCAGCTTTAATACCATCTCATTCGCCAATCTGAGTGCCCTTTTACAAAATTTTTGAATCTGTATTTGACCTGAAAGTCAACCAAGAGCAACTGAATGTCAGGGCAACGCCTCATTGCCAGTATAGTCATTCTTTTATGCTTCCTTACAAATAACAGTTAAAAATACACGATTTAGGCACATTCAACTGTTAACGGCTAATAAGCTCCACTTAATACTGAAACAAAAGCTGTACCACATCTTGCTACTTGACCTCGTTGGAGCTAATCAACAAATCTTCTTTACTTTCTGTGCTTGTGAACCGCATTTACAAATTTAGTGCCGCAGACATCATAAGGGATTTTTTTTTTTTTAAACATTGTTCCCTCAGCACCTGCAGAACCAGGAGTAAAGATTCTGTAATTTTCCAAACAAACTTTCAGTTCAGAGAAGATTAAACTAAAATTATAGTTGTTCAGCTACATACCAGTCAAAAACTTTGTTGTTTTCACCTCTTTTTTTTTAATGCTCAGAAATATAACAAGCAATCATTTCAAGCCCCAGTCTGTTTTTTTGCAGAGATAAGAAAAGACTGCATCTTTCCTATACATTCTCTGTTTTTCAAATTTCCCTTTATCATAGGGTGGTTCCAACTCTGGGGAAAATACATATATATATATAGATATATATATACTTGTTCTGTTTAGGTCCCTATTGAGTGATAAGAAGATAGGACCTGAACTATTCAGCAGTTGTTATTGCTGCTGAATTCATAGCAGCTGGTACAAAGGCGATACACGCTCCCGCAAATTCCAGGAGCGCTACTGTTGCAGGAAAAAAATACCCCTCTACAGATCCCGAGTGCACTAAACATGAACTTGATGACTCTGGCTACCCCAGGTACTTGTGCGTGAGATTTACATGTTCTCTCTATAACCACTGATCAAACTAAAAACAAACTAAAAATTTACACATGAATTAATAAAACAGCAAAATTAAGAATTCCAAGACATTAGTCTGTCCAGTTTCCTTCTTAAGAGTTCTAGCCATAAACAAGCACAGAGCTGAATACAAGACATTTCTAAAATTTTAAATCTTATTTTTAAATCTTTTCTCATTAGTTTTTTTGAAGTCAAGCAAAAGCAAAATATTAAAAACAGGTAGGAAGTGCATTGCAACAATTTCTTCTAGAAAATTATTTATTGCTAGCTAGTAACATCTAGATATAGAAAAGAAGAAAAGCCAATAAAATCAAGGTCCTAGGTAAAACCAATCTCTAAAGCAGCCTACAGTATCCACACTAGTGTCCTAGTCTTACTCAGAGCTCATATTACCAAGGCAGCTGTTTTCAAGCCTCAGAAGTCCACCACTTTTTGTTTTCCTCACAGGACCAATCCTCCCTAAGAACCTTCCTCTTTTTAGTAATAGAAAAAGAAAAATCAATAGACACCAAAAATAAGGCGTAAGGCACAAGGGCAGGAGACGCCGTCAACACGGCTCTGGACAGGCCAAGCCGCTGGACTCTGCTAGGTTGAGAGGTCCCATTGCCCGTGCAGAAAGATATGCTGGGAAAAGGAGTAATTACAGGATTAACAGCTATAGGGATGTTTTCCCTTCTTTATAGCGAAGGTAGGGAGGAAAAAACTTCAAATGCTTGGGGATTCTGTTATAATGTGATACATAAGGCAATACTGCAATGTATTTTCACCTTAAATCACTTGAACAAACTGCATACTAACAATGTAGTTAAAAAGCCAACTGCATGAATAAATTAGATGGCTATTTTTTCAGAATGATCATCCTCCTGGCTCTATGTTTCCATAGATGCATTACTGCTCTTAGGGCAGTGTTGTTTACGTAAGGCATGTAGCATAATACTTGTTTTCCATGCTATGAATATCTAGGAGCTGTTTTGGGATCCCTAGCTCCAGCCTTCCCCTCCACTTAGACCCAAACCTCTTTGGCTTATCTGCTTCTAAATTCCTTCATTGCTTTTCCTTCTACATCGTCTTTCTCTGATTGTTGCCAAGTTTTCATTCTTTATCTCTCGTATAACTTAAGTTATATCCTCTCTCCAGCTTTTCTCCACCCCCCCCCCTCTTTTTCCTGCCCCCAGTCTTCTTGCTAAAATACTTTTTTTATTGATTAGGAAAAAAAAGATTAGAATCCACTCTTATTAAAAATGTCTGCTTTATTTGATTTTTAAAATTTTAATTAAGATGTTTGCCTGTTTGCCTTCTCTCATGCCTTGAGCTTTGCTTCCTTGTTTTTCTAATCTAAGGGGAGTTTTCTTCCTCTATTACACAAGGTAGAAAAGTTTCATCCTCTTGCAATGTTAGAATGTTTGTATTGCAACTTCTGTGTACAGAGGTTGTCAAAAAATTAACTATATGAAGGGGCAGATACAGGATCAAAAAGAATCAACAGTATCAAAAATAGTCATCTGTATTTATAAAAATGAAATAGCATTTTTAGATGGAGAATATTTCTTTCTGAAGACTGTATAAGTTGCATTAGCTTTGGGGTGTCCACTTGTAGAAATCAAAGTGAGATATACTGGGAATTTTTCATGGCTGTATAACTCCCAATGATCAGTAGCAAGGGTAGGAGTTAAGATACAGATTATGTTTTTAATAATGCATTATCTAGCATTGCTCAAAGAATGGCTAAAGGACATTTTGGTGGCAATATCTTTGTTTTCTCTAAACTAGTACATTCTGTAGAGGAGAAGAGCCATTCTTCTTTCTGTAAAAAAAGCCTGGAAAGATGGCTTGAGCAGAAGTGAAAATTTGAGAGCGCTGCAATGTAGTTGGTTAGAAGCTTTTGTTACTCGAATGGGGGCCCGACTTGATCATTTTAGAAATATTTGCAGAGTATATTATTTTTTCATTCCAAATTAATAATTTTATGTGAAAAAAATCAAAATACTATCAAAACTTTCACCTATGAGTCTAGTTCATTTTGTTCAAAATCTTATTTTATTCCAATGAATAAATCTTTTCCAATCTTGGAAGTTTTTATATGGTCCAAAAACTCTACACTCTAAAAATAAAAACGGCACAAGTCTAAATCCTGCTACATCATAGGAATGAAAGTTAGAGTAACTCTTGAAGTTATTGTACTCTACTGGTTTAAATGGGCAGGCTATGTGCTCAGTTAGCTCATGACAGCCCAGGATGACTGTTTTGGTGTAAGGAAAGCCTCTCTGTTCACCTCAGTTAGCTGAGAGCAGAACTTGGCTTGCTCTGTCTGTCAGCTGCAGGCAATCCCTGTGTGAAATACAAAACTATGGGTGTTCCACTCCAAAATATGACAGCAACAAGCTGAGCGCTCATCTGGACCCTGACAGAAGCTTATTTTTATTTACGTGGTGACCAAGTGGTAGTATGTCAAAAACAGACATTTCATATTATATATAGCATACATATGAAATGTCTGCTTATATATGATGATATATTAATATATATCTGTGTGTGTATATATGCATACTTAGATAAAGCATTGTACCATTTAGCTTTTTAGTCCCCTTGAAAACGTATATTTTCTACATCAGTTATATTGTTTTATCCTTGTGGCTTTCTTTATCCAGAGTATCCCACTTCTGGAAATTACAGTGGAAGGGGAGTTGGGGACACCACCTGGAATGCACTGTTAAAGGGAGCGCTCTAAAAGAAGGTCACTCTGTGACCTCTGACTGTGGGTCAAAAGACATCCTTTCCATGGGGAAGAGTACTTCTAGAGACAAAAGATGGTTGGAAAACGGTAGTTTGATTATAGTCATATCCTGAAGAGGTGATAGTAAACAGAGAAGAGTGCACAGCACAAATATTGGTGGGAGAATTTCTCTCTCGCTACAAATAGCCCTGTACCTGTGTTTCAAAATAGCAAGCCTCAAGCAAAAAGGATTCTCATTCTCTTTAACACCCCTTCCCAACTGCAGAGCAGCCATATGTCACTTCAGTGTAGAGGATTTAGTTTCCTGTAATAACATCAGAATATACTGAGTATGTTTAATGAGTATCCTAGTGTAGCTGAGAGCAGTTCTATTCAGATTATCAATGAACCATTGTAAGATTGTCCTAGAAACAGCTTTGTACATTAAAGACTCAGAACCTGGCACTTGCAATCCAATTAGGGAGATCTTCCTGATCCTCCACAACTGCAGATTATCAAGCACACTGTTGGAAAGAACCAACAACTTAGAATTATATTGACTCTTTGGCATTCCAACAAGCCAAGTAGATGCTGATCATTTGGTTCCGTTTGAGTTAAATATTTGTCTGATTGACAAAGCAGGGCAGTAAGGAAAGGTCAGAAAGAGTTGCAATCTACA